TTAAGGGGTGGGGATAAGTGTGCTTTTCATGGTTGAATCGTGATGAAAGGGGCAGGCTAATTTCGGTAGAAAAGTCTGATTCCGGAAGTTGGTCTTCTTCCGGAATTCAAATACTTCCTCCAAGTTAGTAATTGGATTCTGGCAATATTAGGAATCTGATTACTGATTTTGGGTGGAGCCCACAAATATTTTCATTCCCAAAATTTAGTAAACGCCAGAATCAGTTGGGGAAGAATTCAATTCCTATTCTTCTACCTCCATTCCGGTTTAGTAAACGTGCCATTAGGGTAATTCAACGTTCTGAATCCGTTTTCAAAGTTCGTTTTTCCAAATTCAATCGATTAAGTAGAGTTTGATTAAATGTGCTCTTTAATGTGCTTAGGGGCAATTATTGTGACGTTTCCGTCTTCGCTAGTGGCGCAGCTTTTGGCAACTAAGTACTGTGAGTGGACCCTTCTAAAATTACATGATTTTATAGTTTAATTGCATAAATGATTAGCATGCCTACGAGTTTATGATTTGATTTATATCAATCATGTTTACTGAATTTATTGATTATCGTCTCGTGTTTTGGTGAGGAATTAATTGTTAGCCTATTTTGAGCTATATTTTAATATATCGTATTTTCTATAAAAACCATGAATTGGTAGACTATCTGATAGATGACGATAGGATGCTAGAACATGTTTTTGAACCCTCTTTATAGTGTAGACGATGATCGGTAATCTATGCTATGAAGTGGTTATTTATGAGATGTGTAAATATTTGTGCGTACCTAGTAGACACTATGCCGTATGGGGCGAGGATCTGGTGTTGGCATTTAGGCCAGGAGAAATAATCCCTAGCTACGGGCTGAGGGACACGAAGAGGCATTGGGCCGGGTGGTAGTTATCTCTGGCTACGGGCGCAGAGACTTAGGTGCAGGCATTGGGCCGGGAGTTATATTTATTCGGTGATCCTACTAGCAGCACACCGCGTTTACGAGACGATTTATGATGCGTTTACTGTTTTGATTTCCGCGATGAGTTTCCGCGATATGGCTTTTGAGATATTTTTGGCATGCTAGGATTTTTATTAAATCCATCACTTATTATGCTAGTAGTTTTCATTATATAACTTTGGGGGTTAGTATGTTTATAATTGTTTTATTATATTATATATATAAACTTGGTCCACTCACCTTTGTTTTGCGCCCCCATTCAGGACTTAGAATCAAGGAACCTAATCCCGGCGTGAAGACACTTCCGCAGCAGTATCTTCGGATCCTCTCGATGTAGGACCCACTTCTTTATTCATTCAATTATATCTTAATTCTTTTTAGTGATTAGGTTTAGTTGTATGCTCTGAACACATTCCTAAAATTGTTAAACTCCTTGTATTTTAAATTTCTAACCCGTATTTATTTCTTATTCTTAGCTTTTGTATCAATTAATGGCTTTCGTCACCCTCGGGTGTCGGCCAACACGTGTCTATCCTGGTATTCGGAGAATATCAGGGTCGGAGCGTGTCAGCGCACGTGGGTGCGAGGCTTGGGCTCGGCTCGGCAACACATTGGGCTCGCGTTAGATTTGGACTGCACGAGCCGGTTTGCCTTGGGCTTGGAGTGACATGGCTTGGGCCAAGGCCTTGGTGCAACAGGCCTTAAATGGCACGACAAGCTTGGATGACACGGCTTAGGCAGTGGTGGTGGCGCCATAGACCTCACCGCGGGTGGCTACCATGGTGGCCACAGCAGTGGTTGCCATAATGGAGCCTCGTGGTGGTGGTGCCGCTCCACTTATTGTCACGTTTAGCCTTGTGGATTGTTGTGGTCCCATCTCTTGGATGCGAGAGTCTTCTAGAGTGTGTGACTCAACTCTCAATGAAAACACCAATTTGTGGATGCAAATTTCTTTCTCCTTGTTCTTAAACAAAATTGCACCTACAAAACAAATAACACCTTAGGTCAAAGCCAAGAGCCTCACGTGCCCACGATGAATTGGGGTGGGGGGGGGCTTTAGTCGAAGAACCTCCGATGCCAAAGTTAGAATTTTGAAGGAAAAATGTTTGGAGAATTTAGAGAATTTTGGCAAGAGAATTGTAAGTAGTTTTTGGAGAGAATGGAGAGCTATTTATAGGGATATGGTTGGCTCTATTAGGAGAATAGGGACCGGCCATTTGGGGTATTTTTTGGGTGTAATTTGTAGTTAATTAGCCATTAATAGATTAATTAGGTAATAAATCCATTAATTGACTAATTAACATAATTTGAAAGAAATAATTTAGGAGTTACCTTGTGGGGAGGATTTGATAAGGATGGATGAAATAGGTTTTGAATTGTTACCTATATTGAGCATTTTTGACTTGTTTGAGGGATGATTGTCCGCTGCTAGCGCGTAGGAATCTCGATATGCTTTAAGGGTATTTTTGTCTATTTTTATCCAAAAATCCACGCGTCGCCTTGTGATTATTTTTGACTCCACAGATTGATCAAGTGGAGTTGATTTGTCCATTATATATTAGTCAGGGCCAGTTTTATGCAGATACTTGCTTTGATCTATTATATGTAGAAGTTGTTGGTCGAATGCAAAAGGCTGATACGCTTATTAAGTACCTTTTCTATTGTATATATGTATGGATATATGTGTATTGTTAAAGAAGCATGTTGATAATCAGTGTTTATACTTTTTGTATGCTTATACTCTCCACTGACATTATATACATACATATATATATACATACATACATACATACATATATATATATAATATATATATATGTGTGTGTGTGTGTGTGTGTGGAACGAAGCATATGTTAGAGTACATAGTACTGATTACTCATATTGCATATATGTATAGTAATGACAAAGCTTTTATGTAACTATTAAGTGTTTTGAGTACGTCATTTCTATTTTAAACCAAAATGACATTTGAATTAGTAGTGTGGAATTAGCAAGCTTAAGTGTGTTGTCTAGGATTAAAGTTCATAGTGTGTTGTCTAGGATTAAAGTTCATGTCATGCTTTTTAGTAATTGCTTACGCTTGTGAATAGGAGTTGCTTACATTTGTCCTACCAAATTTATATCTGAAGGTAGATTCTGGTAACAATGGTGTTGCTTTTAATGTTTCATTTCCAAAATTTCTACAAAGTAGACTACGTGATTTACGTCATTGGCGACGATTCTTTGATACAATTATTAGTTTATATATATTAGAGAGTGATGGGTGGATCTATGCGTCATGAAATTGAACACTTAACCCTTCCTGGAGGTTGGAGGTTGGATCTACCTTACTCAACTCTTCAGCCAATTTCTTTTAAATTACCATTGTCTTATATCAGTGTTATTATTTGAATTATGAGTTGTACTAAAATAATGTCTATACTAGGCATGTTTAATGAGTCACTTCATTGCTTAGTAATATCCATTATTGGTGTGTGTTACTATTTGTTCATGCTTTTATAAATTGGATTGAGTTCGGGTGTTCCTAGAATCCTACCTGTTTAAAAAGCTATTAATTAATTTATACCCATTTTGTTTCATAAGCAATGAATGCTAGAGATTTAGATTCAGTAAACCTTAGTGATGAGTCTATGGAGATTATAATGGGAAAGATCTTGGAAGTGAAAGTATAGACAATACAAATACGAGTCTTGCAAAGAAAAAGTTTAGAGCAATCAATTTAGGTAAGCGAAAATATACTTAAAAGAAAAATACGTTTTTATGTTTTGGATGTGACAATATGGTATGTATATACTTATTTAGTATTATGTTTTCATTTGATTATTTATTGGTTTAAAATATATTTTCCTTAACAAGTAACAGGTCGGGTCATATTACTTGTTAATATTATCAGGTCGATTTCGGGTCCGGTCATTTTACCTGTTTATTTTAATAGATGTTACACGACACAACCCGTTAAGATATCGGGTATGACATGAAAATGACACGAACATGGAAAACACAATACGAATGCCAGGTCTGGATGATGCTAGCGAGGCTAAATTTTTTAAACAAAATTTGCAAACCAAATGATGTAGTTGTTGATGATTGGATTATTACTTTAGTGTTGATAATGTGCTTATTTCTTATTGGTGACACATCATTTTGTTTAAAATTTTGGTCTCCTTAGCATTACCTTTTTTCTTTTAATCGGTCTCCTTGTCTTAACTCCCTTTTTTATTTTCCAATTTGTGTTGCATCTTTAATAAAAATAATAATCAATTTAACGTCCTTCTTACAGAAAAACCGTATAACCAAAAGAACAATATTGGCAACAAAAAATAAATAAAAATAAAATAAAAAAAACTGAACCTTGAGATTAGACTTTGTGCAAAACCGATGGACTTGACTTCTAAGATTCATATAGCCGACCTCATTTATGGAATAAAGTTTTGTTGTTGTTTTAACTTTTAAGATTATTTTGGAAGAAACTTTAATTTATAGTGAAGTGGTCCAATGGAAAGAGGGAGTTATGGGCTATTTCTCCATCGATAATTTTTTGGTTGGTTGCTGACAAAAAAATGTAGGATAAGAGAATAATAGAAATTAAAGTTCAACATTTTTGTTTTCATTAGGTTTAGCGAATTGGTTTAGTTGGGATAATTTATCACCATGGAATAAAAGAGAGTACTTGTTTCAATTTCTATTGAAAAACTTTTTCTCTAAAAGTAGAACCTTATGCATATCTTTGAAGATGAATTGGTACTCAGATTTTACAAGAAATTAATGCATATTTTTTAGTTTTTCCAGTCAAATGAAAATCCATGAATCAAATATCGAGGGGTTAGAATTCAGGGACACACACTTTTGAATAAAGAAGACGGGAACATTACATAGGAGCATTTTTGTCACAGGAACGAACAGGTAGGAAAATGTGTACGCCAAAGGTCGGAGATAATGCCTACGGTGGGCAGATCCCCTCACTGAACAGATTATTTTTTTTTACAGCTCTTCATAAATATTATAATCTTAGAAGTGATGAAAATTGATGAACATTTTTGTGTGAATAATACTATCTGAATTAAATTCTGACACTCTGTACACTGCGTACAATAACTGGACTTCTAACAGTATGAGTTCCATCGGACCAAACCAGTGACGCAGACAGATGTGATCCGCTCGGAAAATCTTTTCCAACAACGGTCACAGTAAAAGCCTTCTCCTCATTCAAGGACTTGAACGAAAGAACTTCAGGAGTCACTTTGATGTCAACTTCCGTAGTTGGTAGGAATCTTGCCTTCGAATTTGTGAGGATTTTAGCCTTGAAAGTAGAGTTTGTGAGGCCAACATTTTTAACTGTTCTGCTGAATTTAATCGCAAATGATTCCATTGGTGTAACATTAGCAGCTATTGAAGGATAATTGAGATCCTTTGATGATCCTTTCTCAGAGCCTGTAGGACAGGTGCTGTTATCTCCTGATATAAGTATAACTTTGGCCTCATCCAAGATTGAGCAGAGCAACTTTATGTAATCGCCTCTAGAAGTTTCGAACACAAGCCCAGGATCAACAGCCTTGAGAGGATTGATATGTCCAGAACCATAAGCAAATTCACCAGGATAATAATAGTCAGTATTATTCATGAGCCAAGCTGTAGTCATAAGAGATGATTTGATGGCTGCCGGAGACCAATCTGGGTGGAATGTTCTTATATATGCAGCAGCACCAGCAGCATGGGGGCAAGCCATGGAGGTTCCAGATAGTAAGCTGTATTTTACATGCCTTTTGTCTTTAGGGGAACCTGTGACACCAACGACAGGTGAAAATGCAGCCAAAATATCAACCCCCGGGGCTGTTATATCTGGCTTGATAATTTCAGGTAGAATAAAATTAGGCCCCCGCGAAGAGAAGGAAGCAACAATAGGTGCAGCAAGATCTTTTATGGCTTCACTTTTCAGTATGTTCGCCCGAGGTTTGGCTGTGGAGTTGAGGTAGGAAACGAGAATTAAATAATCTTCAACGTTAATAGTTGCTGCGGGTAGTGGGACAATGAAAGAAACATCAGGTGCAGAACTGATTGTAATTGCACCTATTGCACCGACTTGATGAGCCACAATACTGCCACCCTCACGAAGACATACCACAATCTTTCCCTTAACTAATTCAGGGTCTAGGCAGGCTGCTTTACAATCCGAGCATTGACTTGACGCATTTTTTCCTTCTATCAACGGAAAACTTGTTCCATTTAATTTGAAAGCATTCACTGAATTTCCGACAAGCGTCCTTCCATTTCCAAGAACAGCCTTGTCAATTATCCGACGATCTGTGCTACTTGCTGCAACTGTAAGAATCCATGGTGCTACACTTGATACAGAACCCTCTTGAGGGCCGTTATTGCCTGCAGAATGCAAGGTAAGTATCCCTTTCTCCATTGCATGAAAAGCACCGATTGCAATAGGATCCTGCTCGAAAGGAGGTGTAAAATCGGTTCCAACTGAAATTGTAATGATGTCAACTCCATCGGCGATGGCGTCATCAAAAGCAGCCAAGAGCCCATCTGTATTGCACCCGTTAGAACCGCAAACTTTGTATGTAGCAATTCTAGCTAAGGGAACGCCTCCTCTTGCGGTGCCTTGTGCTATTCCATAAAAGCTCACACCCTTTACGGGGTTCCCTGCTGCAGTTGAGGCAGTATGAGTTCCATGACCAACATCATCTCTGGCCGTGGAATTAGTGTAAAATCGAGCTCCAATGATCTTGTTGTTGCAAGTGAAATTTTTGCCTCCTTGACAAGCACCTTTCCACTTCTTGGGAGCAGGACCAAAACCTTTATTGGAAGAAGCATCAATCATGTTCCAAGTCATATCTTTTGTTAAAATGCATGCATGAAATAAACATGTTGGATGACTAGTGAAGTTAGGCTAGTCAACATTCTTTGTGTAAATTAGGCAAGTTAGGCAAGTTAGGCTTATGTTATCTTTCTTTCCATATATATATGTTTCATCTTGTAATTGTTTTGATATGAAATATACATCCAAAATTCAACATGGTATCAGAGCCAGGAGGCGGGCCCGTACTGCCACGTGATTGGGTGGGTCCCCTTTGGCCCCGCGCGATTGTCCACGTAGGCCAAAGATGCCACGTGTTTGGGTGGGTCCCCATTGGCCCCGCGTGATTGGGTGAGTCCCGACATGGCTCCACGTGGTTGCCGATGTGTGGAAATTCACGTGTGACCCATAAGTGGGGTCTCACGTGCGGGGGAGTGTTGGAACCCTTAGTCCCGCATTGGACAGGGGGAGAAGAAAATAGAATAAACGGTTCAGATATGAAATATACATCCAAAATTCAACAACCTTTGTCTTTAAAGCTCTCCGATTCAGGCCAGATTCCACTGTCGATCACACCAATAATGACATCACTCTCGACAGTACGGTTTCGTTTGATATTCTCATTGAACCCGATAAAGTCCCAAGATCTTGTTGTTTGGGGTTTGTAACTCGTGCTTGGAAACACAGAGACAACTTCCTTCATGTTAGCAAGCCTTTCTCTTTCTTGCTCAGTGAGCTTGGCAGCAAATCCGTTGAAGCTCCTTTTGTAGGTTCTTACCAATAGATTTGAAGCAGAGCTGCTCTCCACGACGCTTTCGAGAATGTCAATGTGGTGAGACAACGGCGAGAATAACTCATCCTTAGGAAGTGATCCCAAGTAGACAATGTATGTCTTTCTATCTTCCTGATCAATGGCTCTACACGGTAAGCTCACAGAGAGTATGAGAATAGTGGAGAAAGCACAAGAAACCAATAGAGCTCCGTGCTTTGCCATTGTTTTGTTTCGATGCTGAAGATCGTAACCAGTGCTGAGTATTTTATAGTTGGATGGACAACAAAAATCTCATTTGCATTAACATCCAGATTCTCTTACCTTTTAACGTTGAATACATATTTTCGAGTAGATTTTATCCCTTTGAACGCAATTTCCATGGCCGTGAAATTAATTTCTTTCCATGCAGGATGAACAAATTCCAAATGTTTAATTTTGGAATAGATTTTATACAATTTTGATTTGTCAACCTATATTGTACGAAATCTTTCTTTTAATTCTTGTTTTCCAAAAGCCATAATTCAATGAATAAATTTTCCTTTCCAATTCCATTTTAATTAGAATCACACAGGATCATATCGTATGCTGCCAACCTGAACAAAGTTATCTGAATTACAGCTGTATGGATTCACGAGGCATCCAAATCCTCTCCTGTTGATTGTTAAGATCCTTTATATTTGTTATGCTGCTATTTCCTTATATTCGACACTGCCATATTGACTAGAGTGGATGTATGCATCAAATTTGTCCCCACTTAGAGTCTAGTATCATCCTTTGAACAAACAAAAAACAATGTATTGTTCCCCGCTTCTATGCATGCAATTAAGTTTTTACTTATCAACCCTAAAAAAAAATTGAAGCTAAATTAAAAGACTCTTAACCCTGAACCTGAAAATTTTAACCCCTACATGGCTACACCTAAAACCACGTCATTGCACAGGATCCTATTTCTCTTATTTACCTTTTTCTCCTTGACGCAACTCATATTCAGATTTATAAAGGGCATTGTTATTAGCACTCAAAAATTCTTATTATGTTCTCCAAATTTTCTATATTTAAAAATAAAATACAATTATAGGAGTGCAAAACGAGTTTTTTTAAGTGCCAAATAACAGTTCGCATAAAAAATGTACATTCTTTTTTAGTGGTTCTTAATAATAAAATCAAAGAAGTTCTGAATAGTTTCCTAGGTTTGCAACAAGGAAGTTCTGAATAATAAAAACAATTCCGTTATGATTAAATGTATACACTGTGTACAAGAATTGGACTTGTAGCGGTATGTGTTCCATCAGACCAAACCAGCGATGCAGACACATGTGATGCATCTTGTATATCTTTCCCAACAACGGTCACAGTGAAAGTCTTCTCCTCATTCAAGGACTTGAACGAAAGAACTTCAGGAGTCACTTTGATGTCAACTTTTGAAGTTGGGAGGATTTGGACCTTGTAAGTAGAGTTTGCAAGGCCAACATTTTAAACTGTTCTGTTAAACTCAATCATAAATGGTTTCATTGGGACAACAAAAGCAGCTAGAGAAGGATAGTTGAGATCTTTCGCCGATCCTTTGTCAGAGCCTATAGGACAAGAGCTGTTATCTCCCGATACAAGTCTAACTTTGGCCTCATCCAAGGTTGAGCAGAGCACCCTTATGTAATCAGCTTCAGATGTTTCGTACACAAGGCCCGGATTTATAGCTTTTACAGGATTGATATGTCCAGAACCATGAGCAAATTCACCTGTAGTCATAAGAGATGATTTGATGGCTGCTGCAGACCAATCAGGGTGGAATGCTTGTATATAGGCAGCTGCGCCAGCAGCATGGGGGCAAGACATGGAGGTTCCAGATAATATGCTGTATTTTACATGCCACTTATCTCCAGGGGTATCTGTTACACTAGCAACCGGCGAAATGCAGCTAAAATATCCACTCCCGGGGCACTTAAATCTGGCTTGATAATTTTGCAGGTAAAATTAAATTTGGTCCCCGTGAGGAGCAGCAGCCAACAATTGGTGCAGAAGGATCTTTTACGCCTTCACTATCTAATATCTTGGCTCGAGCATTGTCTGTGGAGCTGAGGTACAACCTGACCACTTCATAATCTTTGGATCTCAATCTGGTTGCAGGCAATGGGACAATAAAAGCAACATCATTTCTCAGAACATCCCTTATAATTGAACCTTCTGCACCAGCTCGATGAACCTCTTTATGTCCATTGAACTGATCACATAATACGATCTTTCCCTTAACTAAATCACTGTCTAGGCATCCTTCTTCACACATCGTAGCAAGTGATTCCTCGCATTTACTTGACGCATTTTTTATGTATACCAAAGAATAACTTGTCCCGTTAGATGTGAAAGAGTTCACCGAACTCCCAATTAGTGTCCTTCCATTTCCAAGGACAACCTTGTCAACTATTCGGCAATCTGTGCTACTTGCTGCAACTGAAAGTATCCAAGATGCTGCACTTGATACAGTACCCAGGGAAGGACCTTGGTTGCCTGCAGATTGTGCGGTTAGTATCCCTTTCTGCATTGCATGAAAGATCCAATTGCTATAGTGTCCCGGTCAAAATCAGAGGCAATATTGCGTCCAACTGAAATTGTAATGATGTCAACTCCATCTGCAATAGCGTCATCAAAAGCAGCCAAGATCCCATCCATAGCACACTCATCAGAACCACAAAATTTATATTCAGCAATTCTCGCTGAGGGAATGCCTCTTCTTGCAGTGCCTTGGGCCATTCCATAAAAACTCACACCCTTTACGGGGTTCCCTGCTGTGGTTGATGCAGTGTGAGTTCCATGACCAACCTCATCTCTAGCTGTGGACTCAATGTAAAATCGAGCTCCAATGATCTTGTTGCATGTGAATTTTTTGCCTCCTTCACAAACTCCTTTCCACTGGAGCAGGACCAAAACCTTCATTTTTAAAGCTCTCCGTTTCAGGCCAGATTCCACTGTCGATCACACCAATAACAACATCACTTTTGGCAGAAGAGTTTCGTTTGATCTTCTCATTGAGCCCGATGAAATTCCAAGATCTTGTTCTTTGAAGCTTGTAAGTTGTGCTCGGAAACACAGAGACAACTCCCTTTGTGTTAGCAAGCCTTTCTCTTTCTTGGTCAGTGAGCTTGGCAACGAATCCGTTGAAGCTCCTTTTGTAGCTTCTCATCAAGAAATTTGTAGCAGAGCTGCTCTATACAACGCTTTCGAGAATACCAATGTGGTGACACAATGGCAAAAACACCCCATTGTTAGGAAGTGATCCCTGATACACAATATATGGCTTTCTATCTTCCTGATCAACGGCTTCACATGACAAGTTGCTAGCAAGTAAGAGAATAATGAAGAAAGCATACGAATACAGGAGTGCTCAGTGATTTGCCATTGTTTTTGTTTCGATGATGAAATTCATAAACGGTGAGAACTACTTTATATTGAAATTAGATAGATAATACCTTCTCGTAAGACACTTCTGATAACCAGCTTATTCAATGTATGTATTTACTATCTAGTCAATCAATGTATAAATGTATATATTGATTCAATCTATTACATGTATCCGATGTACCTAGTTATTCAATACACACTACGATTATATAATATATATTACATGTATGTCTTTTTTTATTTATTCTGAATGCATCTTTGTAATTACTAATTACATACCCACATCATTTACTTTCCCAAACCACAATTTCAAGTTCATATAGCATGCATTTTGAGACATGTTCAAAGTTCATAGGACGCGACAAGGCATTATAACATCAATAATTTCTACAGTTGCAAGTTCTTTGAATTTGGTATGTTATTTTCAGGCTAATTAACTACACAGAAGTGTTTAAAGGTACCAAATAAGGAGAAGAGAAAGCAGATATACTAGCTCTCATCATGACAAATAATACGAGAGGGGTTCCTATTTCCATATACCTGTGGTACCGCTGGTGAAATTTAACAACACCGAGTTTTCTAACCACACAATTTTCTCATCCTCAATTGCCAGTTGTTGTAGCTGGCCAATCACTTGGATTCACTGCAAAATCCGCACCAGAAGTGGGAGTATGATCAAGATGAATTTGGAATATTATTTATAAAGAATACTTGTTGAAAGAGCGCTGTTAAATAACGAAGAATCAACGTGACACTACAAGTCTACAACAGTTGTAAAGTAGACATCAGTTGGGCGCAGACATAATTCATTGCACGTTCCAGTTCGTATCTATAAAAGAGAAGATTGAGATACAGTATAGGAAATGGAAATGGCCATTGGATAACTTCCATAAGTTCCAAACTATACTGAGAAGCACTTACAGAAGACTTGTCACTAAAACTAGCTAGTAAAAAGACCCAAACAAAATGAACTGATTGTATCAGCAATTAACTTCCAAGATGATAGCAGCAAAGCAATCAAGTTGCAGAAGCAACAGATTGTTTAGTGCCGAAACAGAAGATGAACACAAAACTGATCGAACAGTAAATTTTAGGATGAAAGCTTAAAATAATGGCCTTCTGATCAATGTCTGTAGATATTATGTGCATTTGCAACTGGTAGTGGCAGGCAAGTTATAACATTGCTAGCCTGAAATTTGCACCATGGTTTGGTTCCAAGAACAGAGTTAACTATGAAGGTAAAAGGGGGACAAGGTATCATGTTCAGATTTCATATCTTGATCTCTTAATATTCAAAAGACAGAAACAGCATAGGTTAAAGATTTTTGTTACCATAGGACTTGTATTAACGAAGATATTTTCTTCTGGATAATCAGTCTCTCGGTTTTGAGTAACAAATGCTCCATGGTTATGGTTTTATTTATCACAGTAACTGAGTAGTAGGTAGGAAAATGTGTCATTACAATAAAAAAATTTCCTAGGTTTGCAACAAAGATGTTATGAAATACAAACAATGCAGTTATGATAAATTGTGTGAGCTGCGTACAAGGATTGGACTTGTAACAGTATGAGTTCCATCGGACCAAACCAGTGGCACAGACACATGTGATGCATCAGGAAAATCTTTCCCAACAACGGTCACAGTGAAAGTTTTCTCCTCATTCCACAACTTGAAGGAAAGAACTTTAGGCGCCACTTTGATTTCAACTTCCATAGTTGGGAGGATTTTGGCCTCGTAAGTGGAGTTTGGAAGGCCAACATTTTTAACTGTTCTGCTAAATTTAATGTTAGATGATTTCAATGGTGTAACAATAGCAGCTAGCGAAGGA